TTCCGCCTTTTTTTTCCTCTCTCTTCTCTTTGATACACACAACTGTGCTGAGGAATAAAAAGAGCATTTATTGGAAAAGAAACAGGCAAAGGCTGTACTTCATATAAAGTCATCCCGCTACCGTGCGTCGGGATCAGAGTATACTTATCTGTGTTTTACACGTGCTACAAGCTTGGAATAAGGACTGAAAAGTGGTCTGAGGAGAAATGGCAGTTAAGATTGGCATCAATGGCTTTGGCCGCATCGGCCGAATGGTTTTTCGTGCAGCGCAGCACCGCAAGGATATCGAGGTTGTCGGCATAAACGACCTCCTGGACGCTGAGTACATGGCGTACATGCTGAAATACGACTCCACGCATGGTCGCTACAGCGGCAAGGTTGAGGTACAGAACGGTGCACTTGTTGTCGATGGCAAGAAGATCCGCGTCACGAGTGAGCGCGATCCCGCCCAACTCAAGTGGAATGAAATTGGCGTGGAGATTGTTGTTGAGTCGACAGGCCTCTTCCTCACCGACGAGACTGCCCGAAAGCATATTGAGGCCGGGGCGAAGAAGGTTGTAATGACAGGCCCGCCAAAGGACAATACCCCCATGTTTGTCATGGGCGTGAACAACACGACGTACAAGGGTCAGGAAATCATCTCCAACGCCTCTTGTACCACCAACTGCCTTGCACCGCTCGCGAAGGTTGTTCATGAGAAGTTCGGCATCGTTGAAGGTCTCATGACGACAGTGCACGCCGTCACAGCCACGCAAAAAACAGTCGATGCACCGTCGCATAAGGACTGGCGCGGTGGGCGAGGAGCGGCGCAGAACATTATTCCTTCCTCCACAGGGGCAGCCAAGGCGGTCGGCAAGGTTATTCCTGCACTTAACGGAAAACTGACGGGTATGGCATTCCGTGTGCCGACCCCCAATGTGTCGGTTGTTGATCTCACCGTGCGCCTGGAAAAACCAGCGACATACGCGCAGGTCTGCGCTGCCGTCAAGGCGGCTGCCGAGGGTGAACTTAAGGGAATTCTTGGCTACACGGAGGACGAAGTTGTCTCCAGCGACATAAACGGCGTTCCACTGACCTCCGTCTTTGATGTCAAGGCCGGAATTTCACTCAATGATCACTTTGTAAAGCTTGTGTCTTGGTACGACAACGAGACAGGGTACTCCCACAAGGTGCTGGACCTTGTGGCGTACGTTGTGGCGCGCTAGCAAGGCCTACGATGATGAAACCGACGAAAGAAGTATCAAAAAAAAAAAAAAATGACAATACACGCAAAAACGATTTTAGGGAGCTATTACGGGTATATTTTTTTCTTTTCGATTTTGTTTTTGGGAGGTGAAAAAAAGGGTACACAAACGGACGCACTGAGGGGCACTTGTTATTAGATACGTAACGCATTCATATGGATGCATATAGGCAATTGAGCAAGCAACGTAGATTAGCAACGTGCAACATCAATGCAGGGTGTTAGCAAGGATAAAACAATGAACACCACTGGCTTAATCAGGTGAAGGATCTGCGTCTATTTCTGCACATACGCGCATGCCAGACAACACGTTTTATTTTCATTTGGCACATAAGTGGGATTCTATTTATGGAAACAAATTGATTTGAATTTCATGGTTCAACAATATATATATATATATATATATATATATATGTAGCATCATTTGTTTTATTCTCATTTATCATGTTGTCAGCGCGTGTGAAGGAAAAAAAATATTTTTCAACTTCATGCCTCAGCTGCATGGAAGACAGTTTACGCAAACATAGTGCGATAATACGTGTCAAAAATTTCCCAAATCAATGCGACACGCACCACTTCATTTTATATATCTGCTCACTCTCCTCCACCTGAAAGTTTAATTGACACACACATAAAAAGTCACCCAACGCACGGTCGCAAACACAATGCGCCTTGGAAACACACAAAGAAAGCAGATCATCACTTCTGAAAGACGATAATCCTTTTTACAGTTTTGACAAAAAATAAAGATTTTGTTACAATAAAAGAAAATATGCATCAAACTTTTGGAAGAAAAAAAACTTCACACCGCCCACCAGGAAGGAACGTGGCAGGCTGCGGAGGGCTGCAATCCGTCCCTCCTGCGGTTCAACAACATGATCCAAGAGAGCGCGGTACACTGGCAGCAATTGATGACAAATTTCTTATGTAACTCGGGAAATCTGAGTGCACCCATTGACGACCCAACGGAGAACGCGTTAGATAGTAGCGCTGATGCCGCCCACGCCTCTGTGAGGCAGTGCCTACCATCCTCTGTAATAGCGAGCGGACCCTCAGGGCATCACCGCAAGCCGCTCGTCTACACCGTGGAAGAGAACTTGAGCCGTCAGCGAAGCCCTGCTTCACACCCCGCAGGAGTACTTTGACGGGATCGTTAGCAAGATTGAGCAGAGCGCCATGTACCTCTACGAGCACCTTGCTGAGTGCATTGGCGTGGTGCCGACGATGCCGCAGGGGTCGATGTATGTGTTTTCCAAGATTGAGTTGGAGAAGTTCAAGGACATCAAGACCGACGTGGAGTTCTTTGAGAAGCTGCTGGAAGAGGAGAACGTTCAGGTGCTGCCAGGAAGCATCTTCAATCTGCCAGGCTTCATGCGGGTGACGACGACGCGGCCGGTTTCGGTGTACCGTGAGGCCGTGGAGCGCATCAAGGCCTTCTGCCAGCGCCATGCCGCATAGAAGGCGTCAGCAATGTTTTTGACCGCCCATTTCCTTCGGACGCTCCACTACTCAACGACTTCGCCTCTGCTTCTGCAAGCGTCGATGATTTTCTGTGTGTGTGGCTGTGAAGAGAGAT